TCTTCAGAACCTTTCTAAAGAAGGGTCTAGGCCCGAAACGTCAGCCTTCCTCTCCTCTGATGCTGCTTGGACTGCTGTGTTCATCCAGCTCTACACCTTGTTATCTCAGATTCTCCAGCATCTGCAGTTCCTACTATCTCTGAAACAATTTTAACCCCTTATAAACCACCTAATCTATACATCCCTGAACACTATGGGCAATTTAGCATGGCCAATCCACCTAGCCTGCACTACTTTGGACATTTGGAGGAAACCGGAGCACCCGGAGGAAACCCGCGCAGATATGGGGAGAATGTGAAACTCCACACACGGAAAACGTTGCCCCTCAGGTCCCTTTTAAATCTTTCCCCCCACCTTAAACCTATGCCCTCTAGTTTCAAACTCGCCCACCCTAGGGAAAAGGTCTTTGATATTCACCTCATCTATGCCACTCATAATTTTAGAAATGTAAGTTGTTATTGATTTTCTGATCCTTAACTGAACTGACGCCCCCTCACCCCAGTGTAAACATGGGCCAAACTTGTTCTCAGGCTTTACAGAATTAGTTCACCTTGGGTACAGGAGGTACTGGAATACTAAAACTAGTCTGAATGCCCAGTTAAAATCAGCCAATTCCCACTGCTGATCACAAGCTTTCTTCAAAGTGTGCCCAGTGCTCAAAAACAGGACTGGGGCTCAGTTATGACAGAGTGCTAATGGCAGGAGCGCTTGTGAAAATAGACCCAAAAAGAATTTTAGAACTCTCAAGCTTATGTTCAAATCCCACTGAATCTCTAACCTCCTGTAGCACTACAACCAGCCAGGATGTCACATCTACTCTAATTCTGCCTCTTGCGTATACCTGCTTTACTTTGTTCTACTGATAACCATGCCTCAGCTCTAGTCTACCGAATTCCCTTCCTAAACACGCACTCTCTTCCTTCAAAATGTTCCCGAAAATACATCTCTCTGACCGAAGCTTTTGTCAGCCACCTTTCATTTAACTCCATTCCCCCTTTTTTTGGATTATGCTCTTGTGAAGTGTCTTGTTTTATTTTGTTAAAGAGACAGCACTAATGTAAGGTGATGTTACTATCTTCAAGTAAAGGACAGAAGATATGAAGTAACTCCAGCACCTCATATTTCTGAAGCACTAAGAACAATCCGAGAGACACTTCTTGAGGAAAGCAGAGGAGGGTGAGCAAAGATGCTGCTGACAAACTGATTTACAACATCTTATCCTGCTCAACACAATTTCCTGTAAAGCTTAACCACAGTCTCCCTTCTGAGAACATAGTGACAAGACTCATCACAAAACTGCAGTCTTCTGACTACACACAGCTTGGTTGGCTATACATATATAGACCGATTGCCCATATGCATATACACCCATTTGTTATAACCATTTAAAAAATCTGCAGTGTATAATCCCTTCTTGGTGGGAAGTTGTTTTTAAGACATTTTAATATTTGAACATGGTTCCCATTACTGTTACTGTATCAATAAAACAGGACGGTTCATTTTTAGTTCAAGAGTTTTACTCATCTATAATTCAGAAAAATTCTTGGAAGAAAGTTCCAGTGTTATTTTAGTTCTATTTCACAATTATGTACAATACCGAAATATTATGTTCCCACGCCTGTGCTCCTCTTCTCCTCACTTGAAGTCACGCAACTTTCAAGTAAAGAGAAAAGTACTGGGCAACTTGTCTTAATATAGATCTGTCAAACTATCCTATACCCGATTGAGATACGTTATACAAGATTATTCCTTTGATTTATTTTCCCTTTTCCAAAAGTGTAGTTAACTACCTAACACCTCAGTATAATTTAGATTAAGAACTAATTGGCATGGGGAAAGCTAGTTCAAATGCACACAACTCTGCAACACAAATATAAGAGATATTGCTTTGGCTTTTAAACTTACTAAATGTAGTGATGATGCATTAGCAGTACTTCATTTATTCTTTTGATTTCTTTCCTGGGTTGTCACAATTCAGGTAAACCCCAGCCGCCATGAGGGGATGACAATGGGGTGACTCCTTCTTGAAATATTGTGTCACAACTGAGCTGCATTTAGACTCAATACGTTTGAAGGTTACTAAACCACTCGTTATGTTTTGATGCTAATCCAACAATGTATATGATCGGTTTTATGCAGCTTTTGGATTTGATTTAGCTCAATTTTGCAAGTTATCAGGCATAATTTGAAACAGCTCACGATGCAGCTCTACAAACATAATGCCCTCACTTATGATAAATAGGTTATGAGAATCCATCAATTCCTGGACATTTTGGTACCTAAATTAACTCGCAACTTTTGAAAACACGAAAATCATGAAAACTCTTACCTACAAATAAAACTAAAATCCATTTGCTTCTAGGTCAAACAGCCCATTAGAAATTAATCTTACCTGATGTGCACATGTTAAGAAGCAAGGAAAAGTTGAAACTAGTCACTCTGCAGGCTTTTGTTTGGGAAGTTATGAAAGAAGGCAGGAGTGGGTGGTGAAAGGCAGAACAAGAACAAAACACCAAAGCTCACCTGTGATATTTCCAGGCAAGGTAGCTTGCCGACCTGTGCTCCGGTGAAACCATACACCGAATTTGCGCTCACTTTCAGGGCAAGTTGACGACCATCAAGAACCTTTTGTTTGAATGGGTCCGTCTCTTTCTTTAGTTCTGCCTTTGCCCTTGAATTGGGAGGGGATAGAATGACATTGGAAGCATTTTACTTCATTGGCCAGAGTATAAATACCCTTCTAACTCTGGCCCATCATTGAATCAAATCCCAGATCAGCAAGCTGTAAATGTTACCCATTCTATTTGGGCAGATCATTATACAATAAGGTACTGTATGTCTCCAACACATCAAAATGTGCCATTTACAGCATAATTGAATGTCCTATAAAATCGCCCAAGGAGCCAGCAAAATGACTGGTATGGTTAAAAAACTCAACCTTGCGCAAGGTATTGGTATAACAATTTGAGAGGGGCACAGATGCTGATTCGTCCCTCACCAGACGTAGGCAATTCTTGAGCCAAGCACTTGACATTCATGTCTGGTGCAAAATATACTAATTCTTTTCACAATAACTACTACCTCATGAATTCTCTGCCCAAAGACAGATCAGACCCACAGCACCGTGACCTCCAACACAGACACAGGCAGGTCCCTAATCCACTATAGCCAGAATGGAGACTGAATGCTATGTTGTTAGCAACAATCTGATTCACATTGACCCCCCCTAAATACTCAAATTGCCATGGCAATGCAGGTTGTAATCCTCAGTAGTGATACAGGCTTCAATTTTCTTTCCATCATGTGCTGACCAGGAGTCTCTCCCACTCTTACCATATGCATTGGCATATGTTGGAAGTATTCACATGCTAATACTCAGTCTATTTGGCCACAATATGACGGTACTTCCTGGGTGGGTCTTAACTGTGGAATTTCGGCTTCAGAGGCGGGGTACTATCACCATGCCACAAGACCTTCACCTCAGTAACAAAGATAAAAATCTGTGACTAACATAGGACAATGAGCAAGTCATTCAGCTTCCCAAAGCTGTTCCACCAGCCAATGATATCATGACTGATTTGTGAGCTGATAATGTAGACACATCTTTGTCCCATATCACTAACTTCCTCTGCCTAACAAAAATCTATCAAGCCTAATTTGAAAATGAGAAATTGATCTCACATCAATTGATTTTTGTCAAAAGAGTCTGAAACTTCTACCACCCTTTATGTAAAAAGTGTTTCATACTTTCACTCCCAAAAGAGCTGCCTCCAAAGTTTAGATAACGTCCCATAGTCCTGGGCATCTAAAACTGCGGGAATACTTTCTGTACACCACATCTATTTCCCTTAACATTCTCAAAACTTGGATCAAATCACATCTTGACCTTCCAAATTCCAGGGAATACAACTTTAGCTTGAGCAATCTCTCCTCATAATTCATCCTTTAGAGTCTAGGAATCATTCTGATAAATCTGCATTTTGGTTTCTCCAACATGAGTATGTTGCAGGTACATAACTGTTCACTGCAATCTCTATAGGATGGTCTAATCAGGGCTTTGTACAGCTGAAGCGTGACTTCTACCTCTTTCTATTCCAGCTGTTCATGTACAAAAGCCAGATTCCATTAGGTTTTCCCAGTATCTGTCTGTGACAATTTAATTTAGTTTGTTAATTTTTTTCCCCACTTTATCTCGCCCCAGCCAACTCTAATCTTGAGCAGTACTCTCCGCCTCGTGACCCAGGATAGGTACACTCCTCCCAACACAGTTTATGCATAGCTGCTTGCCTCAAGTACTTACTCGTGCTAAATCAACTACCAGGAGGGATACAAGATTAATGTGGTTTCAGCTAGGGAGGCACACCATGCTAATGCACAAAAGGAGTGCCAGATATAACGTCTTCACACCAGCTCCTTCCCTACATGAGAGTCTTAGCTATCTTTAGATCAAAACTTAGGATAAAATTAAGATTGGGCAAATGCAGGATAATGAAGAAAGCCAGCATGGATTAGCTAAGGGCAAACTGTGTCTAAACAACCTGGGAGTTTTTTTTAAAAGCAAAGTAACAGAAAGGGCCATGCGGGGTAATAATGTTGATGTAGTGTACATGGATTTCCAAAAGGCATTTGATAAAGTGTTGCACAACAGACTCATGAGCAAAGTTTGATCTCACTGAATAACAGGGACAGTAGCAACATGGATATGAAACAGTGAAACAGAGAAAATAGGTGGAGTAGGCCATTCAGCCCTTGGAGTCTGGTCTGCTATTCAACAGGATCATTTCTATGGCACAGAATTCCACAGGTTCACCACTTTCTGGGTGAAGAAATTTATCCTCATTTCAGTTCCAAATGGCGTTCCCCATATCCTTGAGCTGTGACCGCTGGTTCCAGACTTTCCAGTCATCTAAAACACCCTTCCTGCGTTTAGCCCGTCTAATCCTGAGTATGGAGGGAAAGAAGGAAGTGGCACTAGGTGAAATTATTCCTTCAGAGAACTAGTGCAGACATGATGGACTGAATGGCCTCTTTCTGTGCTGTGATACTGAGAGAATACTGGCCATCCTAAACCACATGTTTCACATTCTCACCATTCAAGGGACGGCATAATTAACAGAGGCTTGAAATAAGTTTCCAATTTATAGCATCAGCAAGGAAAGTTTTATGGAACATTAGAGATGGTTATGAAATAAGGTAGAATTGCAATTAAAATGAAGTTTGATGTAGTAAACCCAACTAATAAACTGCAGTTTTCATTTCCTGTCTATGGTGATTTTGTTTATTTAATTGCACTTATTTATTCATTTAGTCTCACTGCCATGCTCTCTCTCTAGGATGTTACAATTTCTCTCTTTTAATAATTACTCAAAGTTCTTAGGAAATTTTCTCAAGAATCTGCTACCACCACACATCATAAAAATAGAAGGAAGAATAATCTATAAACCCCCTGAACCTGATCCATCATTTGATATAATCATAGCTGACCTTTTACCTCAATTTCACTTTCCGGAGTATCCAGATATTCCTTAATTCTCTTACCAACCAAAAATCTCTCTTGGTCTTGAACATGTTCAACAACTGAACATTCACAGCCATCATGGATAGATAATTCCAATTGAAAAAAATCTTTCAGAATATTAATCTTAAATGGTTGGCCTCTTATCCTGACTCCTAACCTAGACTTGGCAGCCAAGGCAAATACTGGCAATTCTGTCAAACATTCTTAAAGCATTTTATTCAATGGGATCACTGCTCATTCTTCTAAACTTCAAGGAACAAAGGCCCATTCTATTCAACCTCTCCCATACTGATCCTTTCCTCCTAGGAATCAATCTTCTCTTTCAGGCAGTGCATTCTAGATTGCAATTCAGCACAAAAAACAAATCCCTGAACATGCCTCTAGCTCTTTTGTCAATTGCCTAGGCCAATAAAAGTAAAATTTGACCAAGTTCGTCATTTATTAACAGAATTTCCATCACTCCCAGTTCCAACAAAGTTCAATAATTACAGCTGATGAATTAACAAATACTATTCCAACTAACTAAAATCACTATACTCACTTTTTCCTTGCAGATAGAAGATTTTCCAAGATTTCTGGAAGTAAACCTTTTCGCACTGAAGCTTTGACAAATTGGTCGCCTGTTGGAGTCTTAATGAATTGGTCTGAAGAAAAACTTGAAAGGGAAAAGGTAGAGGGTTGAGGATAAAGCCAAAAATAAGAAGAAACGTCTTTCAGTAAGGAAAGTGAACCCCTACTATTTGCTACCAATCCACGTGTATTGGTTACACCAGCTAGGATTCCAAAGCTTCTAATATACTTATGACTTTGAGATTAAAAAGACATAGCAAGTTGAATGCACTGCTCAGTGTTCCAATGTCTTACCTGAAGAATACATGACTTGCAGCGCAGCTGAAAAAGATACACTAGTTTTAATCTGGTCTTTAACAAATTAGCCATTTTCAGAGAGCACAGCATAATGGGATACAGCAACCTAAGACTGTACATTCTGATATACCTTCTAGCCATCAAGGAAGAGTGTGGGCATGCAGGGGGCCAGCAGAAGTGGACTGGGTGTTGGAGTGTGGGGAGACAGGAACTGGAAGAGAACTGGAGGGTCGGGGGGGGAAGAAGGGAGTGAGATATGAGAGTGAGAGGGCCTGTGAGTGGGGGCAGGTGAGCGAGGGGTTAGAGGCGGGAGACAGTCAAAGGGGAGTGGCCAGGTGTTGGGGGGGCAGGTGTGGGGGGATGGGTGTGGGTGGGAGGAGGATGGGGAAGGGCGGGAGGAGTAGCAGGTGGGAGAGAGCCAGCAGGGCGGGTGGGGGAGAGGGACATGGAGAGCAGGGTGTGGGGAGAGGATGTGGAAAAGAGAGAATGGGGCTAGAGAAAAGGAGAGACAGCAAATTTCACCTGATTCTAATTAGATTAGCAGACTAGATGGTTCAGCAATAATGTTCCTACACCAACTAAGATTGTAACTTGATCACTTGAACAATCATTGCCTAAACATAAAATGCAACATACAAATTTTTGAAAAGCCACGCAACTCACTTGTACTTCTCCACAGCACCTGGTTTCAGCAGTGTTGTGTAACAGAGGTTATGTGCCATCATTATAGATGGATACAGTGAGGAAAAATCCAGAGTTGCAATGGGGACATCATAGTACCTGTTGGGGTAGAAAACAAAAATGACTCTTCGTGAAATTCAGAATGGTATGGAGTCTTTAAAACACAAACTTCCATAGTATAGAAGGGGAATAAGTGAGAGACACCCTGTTCAATATACTCTCCAGCAGAATACAAGTCAAGGGCAAAGCCATACATTGTATATGAGTTACAGAAAGAAAGAATACGTAACATTTATTTAATGCTTCAAAATGAAAAAAATATTAAGGCATGCACGACATGGAAGAAACATTACTTTGAATCCATCCTTGGCCTTATGAAGATGAGGCACATGAATTACAATGGTCAGCAACAATTCACTTGACATCACCTATGGAATAGCATATTTACAGCTCCCACCGTAGCTCAGTTGGTGACAGCTCAGACACAGTTCAGTATAGTTTCAAATTCAACATTGGTTCAAGTACATTTACAGATAAGGTAAAGTGATGCAACTGGCCTAAGTATTTGCCCCCAGCCCTCACCAAATTTCCTTTGATATTACCTTCTAAACATGCAACCTGCACCATCTAAAAAGGACAAAGGAAGCAGATGCATATAAGCACCACCACCTGCAAGTTGCTCCGCAAACCACATATTCTGACTAGGAACAATATCGCAGTTTAGAGTCATTAAATGAAAACCCTCAGATTCACTTCCTAATAGCACAGTGAAAGTACCTACACCACATGGAACACAGCAGGCCAAGGCACAGCTCATCACCATCTTCTCAAATGCAATTATGGATGGGTAACAAATACTGGTCTAACCAGTGACGCTCCTATCCCATAAAAGAATAAAAAACAAGAAACTTCTTATCTTCATGCAAAATGGCACACTCCAGTGGAGATCACTCTTTAATAACGCATGCAAGCAAAAGGGATAAGTGATTTTAAAATTCACGGTCAAGAATCCAAATGGGGCAATGGTACAGGAGGCCGCATGAGTAAGAGTACAAAAATAAAAATCATTGAATAATTGAATTGTTAAGTTTCAGAAAAATTTTGAGCTTCCCTCAAATAAAATGAGCTCCATGGCAAATGTATACCATAATATGGTAGTCTTTAATTCCCAGTAGAGGCAAATGCCATCTATTAATATTAGTTAGTAACTAGAAAGCTCAAGTTTGTACATATTCCTTTTTGTTCTCTTTTTGCATTGAAGCTATTGATTAAGAAAAAGATCACAGGAAGGCAGTTACACAGGAAATGTATTTTCCTAGTCACATCATTTACTCAAAGTTCTTAGCCCAAGGGGAAAAGAACATTCCATCTGCACAGACAACCGATTAAAGAGCTAGTGAGTGTTCTGTGCAGACAAACAATTAAAAAGTCATTAAAAAGAAGCTGCTGGAATTAAATGGAGAACAGTAGTGTAATTAAGAGATCATTCACCAACAATGAGGAGATGCCAAAACATGGCTTTAAAAGGTTGAAGATTACAAACAGAAAAGACTAAAGGAGGTCATGTTGGAAAAAGTAGAGGTACGCAGCTAAGTAATGTGCTGGGATTCCAATGCAGAATCACCCCATGTTCAACCAAGTGGCAGACTACTTCAAACATTGAATAACCTAGCCTTTACCCTTTAACTGGCTCAATGACAGTGGCGCCAGTGTAGTCCTCTCCACCCTCTGTTTTGACCACAGGCATCACCAGATCATGCTTCATTGCCTAGAAACAAAATTAAGATTAATACAGCATCACATTTTGCAACTCTTTTTCAAACAGTTGCTGTATTCTTTGGCCTGAAAAATCATGGGATGAGTTCACAGGAACCTGCATTATTTTTGCATCTTCATAACCTTGCACCTGCATGAAATGTCTAAATACATGATTTTTTTTGTAACTCTATTTGCAACCTGGTCATCTTAACATTACTAAAACAGCTTGAAGGATTTACCTTCTCAGCCTCTCCTGTCACCTGAAGGGTAAACCACCAACAGTTGTCTATGTCTAATGAGACCGCCTATGGTTTAGTAAGACAATGGCAACTTTACCTATTTTTACAACTGCTGTATTTCTACAGTACTTCCTCACTGATTTGATAGGCATTTTATCAATCTAAGTTTAATACTGAGTCACAGAGTTATCAGAATAGATACCAAAGTAAATTAAAGAGGTAAATTTTAAGCATCTTAGAGGAGGAAAGATAGGGAGGGAATTCCAGAGTTTTGGGCCTAGGGAACTGTAGGCACATTCACAAATGATATATTGAATGAAAGCAGGGCTGTTCAAGAGAACAGACTTGAAGGAATGCAGAGATTTTGGAGGATTGTAGGAGATTATAGATAGAGTATCAAGGCCATGGAGAGATTTGAAAACCAGGATGAGAAATTTAAAATTGAGGCTTTGTCAAACTGAAAAGTCAGTGTAAGTCAGTGTCACGAAGCAGAGCTCAACACTTCTCTGATAATTAAAACCAAAACCCGTGGAGAAGCTCGCCTCACCTCGTAATCTGTTAAAAGAAATGTGAAAAGTGGTATAACCTGCCTCTCGTCTCCCAATCTGTTACAAAGGAGAAGTGAATTAAAATAAACTCCTGACAGTCACTCCACAATCAACAAATAACAATTTATTTATCTAACTCTAACAGTTAACAAATAAACTGAACTACTAACAACCCAAACAATTCCTCCCTTAACTACTAACTATTCCCAAATAAAACAAAATTCTAATGGTCTGCTGTTCCAATAAAAACAAGTCCCACTTATGTAAACCAAAATTAAAAAGTAAATTAAAATTTAATCTCTTGAAATTACAGCCAGGATACATCTTCCAGAATGTTTTTTGCCTTCTCCACTGTCCTCCAGTCAGGAATGCCTTTCTCCATCGAATTCGTGTGTCAGGAATATTAGCTAAGAATGCCGCTATACTTTTAGTTTAGATGATGGTTTTCTGACAGCTTAGAGATTTCTGTGAGAGCCAGTGAGTTTCTATACAGATGGAAGTTCACACTCACACCGATTTTCAAATGTCCTCTTCTTTTATACCCTTGGTGACCTATTAATTTCTTATAATAGGATTGGTTCTAGGTTGTCAAAACCATCAGATTTAAATTTAATTGGGTTTTAGTATGTAGGGCCGAGTTCAAATTAATTGGCTAAAATTCAAAAACGTGTTGTCTTGGTAAAAATGCTGCTTTGCCTGCTAACAGTACACCTGCAGACAATTTTTTTTAAAAATAAAACATCTTTTAAAGGGATCACACACTCTTTCCCCCCATCATTTTACAAACATCAAATACTCTAACATCCTGCCTTCAAATCCAAAAATACTATACCCAATTTTGCAACATCAGCAAACAACAGAGTTGATGGGTGAACAAGGATGAGTGAGTTACGACGTAAGCAGCAAAAGTTTATCTAAACTCATGCTTTGTAGAATGAAAGGTGGGAGGCTAGTCAAGACAGCATTGCAATAGCCAAGTCTAGAGTTAACAAAGACACAGAGGTAGCTTCCACCAGCAGATGAAATGAGACAAGGCAGATTTGGGCAATCCTGCAAAACCGGAAATAGATGAACTTGGTGAAATAATGAATATATAGTTACAAGTTCAGCAATTTAATCAGTTGAAAATATTGCTCTTCCAGTCCTAGATGTCAGTCAAATTGTGAGACAAGTTGGAGACAGTGGAAGGATCAAGAGAGATGGTGGTGAAGTCAATTTAGATGTCATCTATACATATATCCATCCTGATTTTCTGTTTTGGAATAGTATCACCAAAGGGCAGCAGGTAGATATCAATTACAAAGGGGTCAAGGGACTCCAGGAAACAGCATGGAAGCAGAAAGAAAGACCATGTCAGTTGATTAGTTGAGTTTGACAAGTTTGTAAAGGAACGAAACATGGACAATCAAACCCAGCTAGATGATAGATGAAAAAAGAGTTGAAGCAGGATTGTGTTGTTAGCCGTGCTAAAGACTATGGACAGCTTAAGAAGGATTGACAAATTCCTCTATTTTAGTACGTCAAGGCTGCTAGTGCTGAGTAATAGCACAGTTCCCAGTTTTGCTCCTTGGTTCAGCATTAAGCTAGTTGCCAATTACTGATTCCATAATTATATTTGAATAACCAATCTTATAAAAGCATATCCTACCGCACCAAATTGAATTCATTTACAGCCAAAAAGCAATGGGATATTCTTTCATTAGTCTGCACTGAATTTATACTCTGACTTCGGAGATGAAAGTCGCTGTATCAACCAGCGCCTAGCAGATTTATTTCTACCATACCTACAATTAGAATACTTAGCCAATTTCACCATGTCAAAATAACAGTTGCCATAGTTAACATTCTTCCCTCCAAATATAAAAACAATTGTTCAATTACTGCTGGGAACTAGAAATTGGAGAAGTTGTGTGCCATGCAGAAGTTGTGTCATATCCACTGAACAATCTGCAGCTAACCAAAGACAATTTCTAAAAAATCAACCTGGTTCTGACCTGTCGGAGCAACTGAGAGACCACTTTGATTTGCTGTCCTCTTGAGAGGAGATAGGATAGGGGTACTCCTGTCACTCTGGCCATTTCCATATAGTTAATTACACACATCAATTTCTCCAACAGCCGCAGGGGCAGGTAAGCATCCTTTAGGCAGTAGACAGCTAATCGCCTTCGTGTTTGCTCATTACCATTCTAAAGCAAACAGAACAATGGTCAGAAGATGGGCATGGTAGAGAACAAAAGACAAAGGAAAAATGTTACAAAGGAAGAGAGAATATGTGATACATGCTGTACAGATGAGGGAACTATCTACACAGTAAATTTCACATTTTAGACGATTTAAAGTTGGTCCAGAATCACTTCAAGTAAAATAGATTAAATTACAATTAAATATTCTTTCCAATTTAGCGAAAATCTAAAACCAAGCTGATAACTCAACTGAAAAATCAGCCTTTAATCAACAAAATAGATAAAAATGTTTTAGAAAGGTTCACAATTGCGTATCTACATGGTATGCAGAACGTTTCTCACTTATTGTAACACTTTTTCTCTGTTGCTTAACTGTGATTGCTATGTGATGCAAGACATCCAGGCATATACGGTTTGTATGCAAGTTTTCATGTGACTGGAAGTAGGATACCACAAGCTCCTCTTCAGGCAAAATATTTAAAGGTTGGATCTCAACAAACCATAGATGCCACTTATCTCTTAATAGTTTTCCAGTCATGAGTCTATCACTAGCAGCTCGGTAAAGAAATAGCTTTAAAAGGTAATAAATCTATTGGGATGAATGCTGGAACATTTTTTATAAAGTTATCTGAAATGATCTCTGACACTGATCTGTTCTGAAACTGAGTTAGTTAGCTAGTTAGGAACTCTGCTCTCTCCTGAACCTCCCAATATTGCAAGATTCAATAAATTCAAGAATCAAGTTAACCTGCAAAGAAAGTACCACATCTTTTCCCCTACTCAGCAACATATACATCCAGCTACTGGATACCTGCAGGTCTGTGATGATTGAGTGCTGAACGTCTTCCTTCTGCTCCTGCAGGAAATGGAAACTCACTGCATTCAGTGTGTATGATCGCAGTTTGTAATCTCGTAGTAACACCTAACCAAAACAAAAGCTACACAAGTTAACTCTAATACATAAAGAAATCATCAGTAATTCACAATTAGAAACAGCTTGTTTTGAAGTGTAGTTGCTGGTATTTTATTAGCAGCATCAGTAATGAGATGAATGTCAAGTTACTTGACTTATTTTTTGGTGATGTTTATAGAGGAATGGTTGGTTAGGACACTGGGATAATTCAATTATTTGAACAGTGCCTTGGTACCTTCTGAGGTCAGAATATACCTCAGCTTCATGTCTGATTTGAAAGATGCTACCTTCAACAATGCAGCACTCTGTCAACACTGCACTGAAGTGTCTGTAGATTATAATTACAGTTCAGGCCCTGTACTGCTTTTAAAAGCAGGAAACAGGCCATTCAGATTCTCAAGTCTGCTCTGGAATTAAAAATGCGAGAGAAACTGCATCCCAACTGCTCAATGGTCTCGTCTCAAGAGGAGATCATTTCCCTAAGAGGGAGCAGCTACCCTATTGAATCTAGCAATTATTTTAAACTCCTTGACTGGATCACCAAATAATTGCCTGTATTCAAGGGTCGACATTTATGCTACCTGACCTCATAATGTAATTTTTTAGACTAAGGCATAATTCTGGTGAAACTGTATTCTCCCCTTTTCCTATTTCTTACCCCCAATTCGACACACAGATAGAGTATGAGCCAAGGCTCTGAAGCATCAGTTCCTCACTTCTGAACTACGATTTCTTTGAAATAAAGGCCAACAATCCAACAGCTATTGATTATTTTTGGAATCTGCTTCCTTTGTTTATTTCTCCAGAACTTCTAGTCTTGCACCATTAAGAAAATATTCCCATTTTTCTTGCTTAAAGACAAGTGGATGACCTTGTACTTCCCCACATTGTACTAGTTCTGTTACAGTTTGCCTATTCACTCTATCTTTGTCCCTTTCTAATTTCCTTCTCAAATCCACACATTTACCATACCTCAAATGTTTAGAGTTATCTGCAAACTTGGACATATGATTATCTATTCCTTCATCCTTGTCATTAATATGGTGAAAAGCTTGTGGCACCAATACAGGTCTCTGGAGAACATGGCTTGTCTCATCCTACCAATCAAAAAACATTTAATTGATACTCTATCTCCCAGCCCACAACCAACTATCAAACTCAGATCACATAGGTGCCTTGAATTCAACATTCTCTCAATGTTGGTCTGAAGTGTTATGTTATCAAATGTTTTCTGGAAGTCCATGTAGAACGAGCCAGTGATCTTAGAAAAATCCATGCTAAATCTAGTATCTCAACAGCAGGCAAACAAATAAATCATTAATAAACACAATTTATCGTGGAAGTGGATTTGTCACGATGATTAATGCTGCAAAACATTCACTTAGTAGTATTACACACCTGCAGGAGATCAAACTGTATTCTTCCCTCAATATTGATCACTTTATGCTCTCTGCGGCCCATCTGTCGGGACTGAAATGAGGAATCCCGGATTACAGACTTAATGGTGGGAATACGACTCAGGAATGGAAAAGTCATCACCTGAAAAATTACGTAAGTTAGTCTTATTGTTTCAAGATGGCTGTAATTCATAAAGGATAGCCAAAAGAATAGTATTGGTGCATTTGCGTTCTTTACTGTGTGCAGTTAGAAACATAGAAAATAGTTGCAGGCCATTCGGCCCTTCGAGCCACCAATATGATCATGGCTGATCATGCAATCTCACTTTCTCTCCGTACCCCTTGATCCCTTTAGCCATAAGGGCCACGTCCAGCTACCTCTTGAATATGTCTAATGAACTGGCCCAACAGCTTCCTGTGGGGGAGAATTCCACAGGTTCGCAACACTGAGTGAAGAAATTCTTCCTCATCTCCGTCCCTGAATAGCCTACCTCTCGTTCTTAGACTGTGATCCCAAAGTTCTGGATTTCCCCAACATGAGAACATTCATTCCGCAACTAGCCTGACCAGTCCCATCAGGCATTTATATGTTTCTATGGGATCCCTCCTCATTCTTCTAAATTCCAGCAAGTACAAACCCAATCAATCCAGTCTTGCTTCATCTGTCAGCCCTGCCATCCCAGGAATCACTCTGGTGAACCTTCGCTGGATTCCCTCATTAGCAAGAATGTCCTTCCTCAGACTAGGAGACCAAAACTGCACACAATACTGAAGGTAAGGCCTGTATAACTGCAGCCAGACATCCTCACTCTTATAGCCAAATCCGTTCAAATCCACACGAAGGCCAGCATACCATTAGTTTTCCTCAATGCCTGCTGCACCTGCATGCCAACCTTCAGTGACTGTTCTACCATGACATCCAAGTCGCGTTGCACCTCACCTTCTCCTAAAGTGCCAGCATTCAGAGAATAATCTACCTTCCCGTTTTTGCAAATAAAGTGGATAACCTCACATTTATCCACATTATATTGCATTTACCAAGTAGTTGTCCACTCAGCCAATTTGACCAAGTCACTTTGCAGCCTCTGAGCATGCTCCTCACAGCACACATTGGCAACCAGCTTAGTGCCATTTGCAAATTTGGATATATTACATTCAATTCTATTGCCCCAAGCATTAATGTTAGATTTTAACCAATGACTGAATCCTGTTATTCTAAGACTAAAAGTTTTGTTCTTTCAATTGCAATCTGACTGACCTCAGAGACAGCAAGAGTACAATTTAGCATGCAACAGAAATGTTTCACCTCTTCACTTTCTTTCCTTACAAAATAAATTTTGGTGAAGGATATCTGAATGGCTTAATTAGCAGAACTATACAGGACCTGTGTGATTTCAATTCATGTTTACCATATTAGCAACACCACTTTTGAGCTCATCCTTAAAGATCAAAAGCTGAACTCTGCTCAGAATTAGCCATTTGGATTAGCCAGCAGACTACTGATTCATTGCTGTCTAACCTACCTGGTGGCGCATCCATTAAATTTCTAATCTCAATCTAAAAAGACATTCAAAATCCAGTCAAAAGACAAGATTCACCTGGTTGGACAGTCACTTCTACAGAATCACAGAATGATTCAACACAGAAAACCATGACTCAACCCAAAGTGCATGTGCCAGCTCTTTAGTAAAGTGCTCTATCCATATGATCCTGCAATTTTTTTCACAAAATTTTATCGAACGCTCTTGTGAACATGCTTCTAACATCCCTTTAGACAGCGCATTCCAGATCACAACAACTAGCCATGTACAAAGTTTGCTCACATTAATGGGTACTTTTGGAAGTAACTATTTTTGTCTCTTCCAGTTACCAATCCTACTGCTACTGGAAATGGCCTCTCCACATTTATTCTTTTTGGAACCCCTCAGGACTTTGAGCACCTCTTTCAAATCTCCTCTTAACTTCCTCTGTTCTAAGGAGAGCAATCCCAGCCTCTCCATCTTCTCCACCCTGGTACATTTCAGGAGATCCGTCCCACAGTCTTCAAAGAATCGTCCATGTTTTTTTTTTAAGAATAACAATGGCAGAGACTTAGGTGGCTATCCTCTCTCAACTATCCAGAGTGAGAGGTATGAGAAAGAAAACTGAGGCCTTCTTGTTTACATGAAATATACTGCACAGAAGTGGTCATATAGCCCACCTGTTGCACACTGGTGTTTGTACTCCACTCCATCCAGGTTACCTCAGCTAACCCGATCAGTATAATTTCCTACACCTGTTTCCTTGTGCGTTTATCCAGTTTATCCCTAAATTATTTATCTCAGAGCTCGTTTAATGCCTTGAGAAAGTGTCACTGGTCTGAGAAGATATAACTAACAAACAAACAAACAAACAATGACTACCCGAAAACAGGTCTTCAACTTTCTTCCTATTTGATACTTTCATTATATTATAATTGGAAACAAGTACAAAAAAAAATTCCACTTATGTACAAGCAATGTCAAGTTCACTGAGTAGTCTAAGAATCAAAGAACAAGACATTGTACTGTAGCTCATCTAACAATAAATGTTAGCAAAGGTATACACTTTTTAAAGTTAAGCAAGGGAGAAGAACATGCAGAGCAAGGAGACAGAACTTTCAACATTGATAATCAGTAATCCCATGAACAACGGTGATCAATTCCACCTTTCAATGTTGAAGTTGTATCAAATATCATTTACATTTGTATTTATTTCAGCCAGGCTCCGAAAAGCCTATTTTCAATGGCTATATTCAACTCCCTTATCCAAGTGGCAGCACAGCAGCAGTATTAGATGTGAAACAACAGCTGTTACAAAACCAAGAAAGCCTGACTTGCAACGCAAAATCAAAACGTTTATATAAGATTCTCATGTGAAACCCCTATAAACAAACAAAAACAGTAAATTTGTCTATAATGGACTGTTATATTTACCTTGAGTGTTTGCGCCCGGTTAATCAGATAAGGTAAGTCAAAGTTCTGAATGTTGTATCCAGTAATTATGTCAGGGTCAGCCACTCTGATAAACTCTGACCAAGCCTAGAAAGATTGTTAATTTTAATAAGCTTTTGTAATATATACGTAAATAACAATTATTCCAAATTGCAAAACCAACAGAGAATAATCAAAGAGCAGAATACTACAGATGCTGTAAATATGAAATAAAAGCAGAAAATCTTGGGAAAAACTCAGCAGGTTAGCTAAGCATCTATGTGGAGAGAAGAGAGTTAGCATTTCAGGTCTATGACCTTTCACCAAAGCATTGTTTCTCTCTCTTCCCATACGCTACCTAACATGTTGAGATTTTTTTTTCTTCTGTAATCTTCTGTAAAACAAAAGATTACACATGCTGGAATTTGTGAAACAAAAACAATGTATTCAAAATACCAAAAATCGAACAGAACACCTGGGGAGAAGAGAGACAAATTAATGTTTCAGAAAATGCTCAGGACTCTTCCCCAAAATGCTCTTAAGGTTGATTGGGTTGAGCGTGGCTGTTCGGACATTTCACAACTGAGATCGAGAGGTTTTTTGTTCAGTTATGAAAAGGATATGGAACTAAAACAGGTGAGTAGAATTTAGAAACAGATCAGTCGCGATCTAATTCAGCTAAACAACGCTAAAGGCTCAAGGAGTTTAATGGTCCACTAATGTCCCTATTCTTGTTCAGTCTTTCTAGCATTTTCTGCTTTTGTTGTACATAACAACAACTCGCTGAAGGCTGTGTTCAGCAGACTACCACTGACAGCAAGGTTGAGATCAACAACTAGTCCAGTGTCAGAGCATGTATGTGACCCTTTCCATGCCAAATTGTACTGGATTATAAGTCAACCAGTCAAATATAGAGAAATACACATGACTGTTATTACAAAAGCATTCAGGAATTTGAGTCATTTGTGCTGCTGTACGAACGCAGAATGGTCTCTATTTAAAACTGTTATCTCAAACGACGAAAGGCACCAGATACACATCTGGACGGATTACTGCGGAGGCTGGTGATATTGAAAAGTCATTTCAAAAGTATGGTGCTATTTTGTGTTAGCACGTGGGTACAATTTTTTAAACAGGAGATTTCAATCAACAGGAAGGTCAGGGACAGATAGAGTCACCAAACCACCTGACTTGCACAGCACAGGTCATCTTGCTGAACTGTTTCTCAGCTGGGGAATAAGAGGTGTCCCTGGAGCCTAACAGAAGAGTGAAAATAACTCAAACCCACTAAAGCATGGTACTGTATAGTAACGCTGAAGTGACCTCACAGTGAAAGTAACCTATCAGGTTAACAAATGAAAGACCATGAAGCAGACAGTAATTATAAAACTTTCGGTTAAATTAACTTTTTTTTAATATATTCTTGTTTTACATAGAATTTCACAGGTCAGAATCATGCCATTAAACCCACTGGTAACTGACTGGTCCATGTCAGTTTAGACTCCAAATAAACCAACTCCCACACTACTTTAACTCACCATAACAGCATTAACCTTTTTTTCCTTATCTCCCAGTGTTTATCCAGCTTCCCTTTAAAGGCAGCAATGCCATTCACCTCAATCACTCTATGTGGTAGCAAGTTCCACATTCTCAATGACCACAGTGCTGGCATTTGGATCCACAGGAACCAACCAGCAAGGTAGGAGCTTACTCCTGCACAGAAGTCTGAACAGGGAACAGCAAGCTTCTAACCACAAAGGACATCAAATCTAAAGTTAACAACCCTGAGCACAACCTTTCACTCCGGCAGTAAAGTGTGGCAACTTCCAACGGATGCCAAAGGACAGTCAGCAGAAGTAGGAAGCCTCTTTATGTCCCCAACCCACCTGAATTCAAACCAGGTGAAACTAGAACTTGTGTAGTTCTACATCACACCGAATGCTGTTTAGCTGTTAAGTCATTCGAGTAATTCTTGATTCAAATTTAAAAAGTGGAAGAACAGCGTAAACTTTACTTATTCTTAACTAGACCTCAAAGTCAGTTCTCGTTTCCATAGAAAAAGCAATGTGTTCACTAACCTTCCTTGCCTTTTGAATCAATATGAATTTCTGAGATGTTAGAAGCGGTGCAAATTATTATGGAAGCTGTAAGAAAACAAGTTGCTAGGGGTGAAGCCATAGCTTCAAAATTATTCTTCTCCATTTTGTGATTTTATACCTGAAGATGGCCAAAATGAGCAAGGTTACATTTTCTGAAGAAGGGTCTAGGCCCGAAACGTCAGCTTCCCTGCTCCTCTGATGCCGCTTGGCCTGCTGTGTTCATCCAGCTCTACACCTTGTTATCTAAGGTTACATTTATTGCCTATACTTTACTAAGTGTTTATGAGGCCAGTTCAGCAGTTGACCGTGTAGTTTAGATAGTGTCCATGTGCAGGTGAAACCGGGCACGGATGGAAGATTTCCTTCCTTGAAGAAAATTCGTGAAGAATCCAACAACCTTCATGGCCACATTTTACTTGCAGTGATGGAACACAATTTACTAGATCTACTGAGTTCAATTTCACTACTTGCCATGGTGAGATTTGAATTCACATTCTCTAGATTGTTGGTCCACAGCTACAACTACTTTATTACCACATAGCCTGCCATTCCACACCCCCTGTTGTTAGTCACTAACAGTCCCCATTAACAACTACTCACCCTCCCAGCCTGATCGTTAGCAACTCCTTTGTCTGTCTAATTGTCTCTCTCTCTCTTTGGGTTCTATCCTATCATTTACTCCCTACCCCACCCACCTCCCTATTTTCTGCATATAAACTGACGTTTTCCCACCCACTATCAGTTCTGAGGAAGGGTCATCGGACCTGAAACATTAACTCTGTTTTTTCCTTCACAGATGCTGCCAGACCTGCTGAGCTTTTCCAGCAACTTCATTTTTGTTCCTGATTTACAGCATCCGCAGTTCTTTCGGTTTTTATTATATTAACATGCATTCTGAAGCAAGAAAAAGTCACAGAAATAAAAATATACTGACCACCAAGAAAGAGGCCAGTTTTTCCCCCCTCCCCCAAATGGAACAAAAGTGCCAAGGGTGAGGTTGTGTACACTCAGTGAAGCATAGAACACCTCCCCCATCAAGTAATTATGACTGATTATCATACTGGCTGGTTAGGTCTAAAAGTGGAGCAATTTGAGACACAAAACCGCAAAAATAAAAAAGTATTTTTACATAAATTTATCTCTTTGTTCAAGAATGCACACCATTAAAATCTGCCTCTTGGGGGACTAATCAGTTCTCCATCATTACAATTTTAAAAAATACATGTTATCAAGAAAACTTTAAGTGCAAATCTCATTCTGCAGGACAGTACCAAAGTTAAAAAGAGCAAAACATGCAAGTCCCCTCCATCCACTACCATCTCAGGGCTTTGAAGGTAAAGACATCACCAGCTGCAGTATTAACTCACAAATACCAGGTTCAACACACAGCTTTTCTAGATTAGCTATAACTGCTCTGCTCTTTAGAGTGTCAGCTGTGATAGCTCATTCTTGTTAGAGGCACAAGTTAGTGGGTTTAAGTCTCAATCCAATGACCTGAGCACAGAATTCAGGCCAACAGACCTGTGCAGTGTTGAGGACAGGCTGCATTGTTACAGGTGTGGCTTTCTGGATAATGGGCCAAACTGAAGCCACTGTCTACTAGATGTAAAAGATTCCACAGCATTCCTCAGTATTCCAATACTTTATCCCATTGTGTTCAAAGAAGGGCAGGGGGCTTCTCCCCAGTGTGGCAAGATTTAAGTCTCAGTCACTTCTGATAATTATCTCATTGCTGTCTGTGGAAGCTGTTCTGCTCATTTTCTTCACAGGACACAGATGCGATAGATAGGAAAAAACTTTTTCCATTCATAAAGGAATCAATAAACAGGATGCACAGACTGAAGGTAAAGGGAGGTGGTTTAGAAATGATATAAGGAAGAAAGGTACTGGGTTCCTAGAACTCACTGAATGAAGGGGTGTTGGGGCATCACATTTAATAAGTACTTAGATGATCCCTTGAGGTGCCATAGCATACAAGGCTACAGTCAAAGTGCTGGAAAATGGGACAAAAGTAGATAGGTCCTTGATGACTGATACAGATACAGTGAACCAAAGGATCTCTTTCCATGCTGTAAAACTTTATGACTCTATGTCAGTTGCTGCAATTCAAAAGTTAATCACTTTGGAATACGATGAGGCACCATAATATCGCAAGTATCAATCTATTTATCCTTTCAGAGAAAATGCTGCTAGGAATTCATGCTGCTAGCCAGTGACACTTGCTGGAAAGTCCACATGTGGTCATAAGATGATGTGAGGTAGCTAAGAGGATTATGATAACTCGTAATAATAATGGCTGCTAGGACAGTACGATTTAGCTGATGCTTTGGAAACTGTGCTACAGTGGAAGTCAAGGCCTTTGCAGGAAAAGTGGAGATAATTAAACCAAAACTGTGCCATTTGTTTATATAATTAAATTTACAGCAGTTAGATGAGAGTTACTTTATGATTTCAGCAATAACAGTTTAAAGAAAGCAGGAACTCAATCCTCAAGAGGGGAAACTCCATCTTGGGGCCTGGCCCAAAAGAATCATATTCATCACAGAAATGTAAAATATGAAAAAAATCTTCAAAGACTCAGTTCTCCAATCCTGACGCTGCACAAGTACATAAGCCCCACATTCTCCCACCTCAGTACCAATACCTTTAGCAGCTCATTCTCCTTCTCAAAGCACAGGACCTGTGACCCTACAATGCTAGCACAAGGCCAAAGGGTGAAGACATTACGGATGAAGGGATCCTTTTCGCCCTGTCGCAGCATCATGTTAGCAATCTGTATTACAGGGTCTTTGTCAGCCTCTGGAAAAACACCTTAAAAAAAAAAGCAAGCAAAAATTTAAACAGGAACAACTATATTATTTGCTGCTTTTTATTAAATCCATAAAGAGAAACAAGAGCAAGCAATTCAATCTGCAAGGCATGTATTTTCTTAATAGGTCCTTAAATTTTTCTTGGATTCTCACAAATTACCTGACTATGCGCTTCAAGAGATGGAACAGCAGTATAGCAATCCATAGTGATGGAGAGTGCTGCGATGGAGAGGCTATTTCTGCTTGTAGCTACAACTGCCAGGAGATTCACTGTCAAAGTATGCCACACTAGCCTGAACTGCATCACTCTCTCACATCCTCTGTGCCTGGCTGCCCGTAACCTGTGATATCTGTCATCCAACCACACCCAAGATCTTTCTGCTGTCTTCACCTTTCCTCCCTAGAAATGAAATAACTTTTCAGCTCAAATCAGATGGCTGAAACACGTTCCTTTCTGGACGTCACTTTTGAGGTCTTTTTGCTCATGCAGAGATGCATCTGCATTACAAGAGCAGCAGACCGTACGCCTTCTCAGGCCTGCTCCAACACTCAAGAGGTGATGCCAAAACTTCGATCTCAACACTTTCCTATCATATGCCCATATCGCAGTTATTGCCCTGACAGTCCAAATATAAATAAAAATCCTACAACAGTATTATTGAAAGATGCTGACTGATGGATAAGGGATCAGCCTTCAAGCAAGTTTACACACACTGTGTCAGTGCATCAATGCGCTGGCAAATGCTTAGGAGAAAATCAAATGCTTTTCCCATCAGCTGTACTGTGGTCCACATCACACAGGGACCACAGAAAATTGAAAAAGGATCCAGGGAAGGGATTGGACATAAAGTTTTTAAAGTGAGTGGAGGCAGATATAGGGGAGACGTCAGAGGTAGGTTCTTAACTCAGAGTGGTAGAGGCGTGGAATGCATTGCCAGAGAGGGTAGTGGAGTCGGCCTCATTAGGGGCATTTAGGCGGCTATTAGATAGGCATATGGATGATAGTATAAGGTAGGGGTGGAGGTTAGATAGACTTTAGGATTAGGATAAAAGTTTGGCACAACATCATGGGCCGAAGGGCCTGTACTGTGCTGTACTGTTCTATGCTCTATGTTCTATAACTCCAATTTTTTAAGCTTCCCACCTTTTATCTTTTATTTTGTCCCTTTCTAACACAAGAACCATTTTACACTTTTTTTAAATCAGGGAAAGTTGCACATAACAGAAGCAATCCATATGAACACAACGAAACAAACTCCCCAGGAGAGGCAGACTCTCTACATGCAAATTTTTTTTTGCTACATGCTGCATATCAAACAAAGCCTCTGTTCTACTCATAAGAGTATTTCTTGGTAAAGGCACAAACAGAGTTTATTCAGCGCAGGCTTGGGGACCGCTTTGCAGAACACCTACGCTCGGTTCGCAATAAACAACTGCACCTCCCAGTCGCAAAACATTTCAACTCCCCCTCCCATTCCTCAGACGACATGTCCATCCTGGGACTCCTGCAGTGCCACAACGATGCCACCCGAAGGTTGCAGGAACAGCAACTCATATTCCGCTTGGGAACCCTGCAGCCCAATGGTATCAATGTGGATTTCACAAGCTTCAAAATCTCCCCTCCCCCTACCGCATCCCAAAACCAGCCCAGCTCGTTCCTGCCTCCCTAACCTGTTCTTCCTCCCACCTATCCCCTCCTCCCACCTCAAGCCGCACCCCCACTTCCTACCTACTAACCTCATCCCGCCCCCTTGACCTGTCCGTCCTCCCTGGGCTGACCTATCTCCTCCCTACCTCCCCACCTACACTCACCTTTACTGGCTCCATCCCCACCTTTTTGACCTGTCTGGTTCCTCTCCACCTATCTTCTCCTCTATCCATCTTCTATCCGCCTCCCCCTCTCTTCCTATTTATTTCAGAACCCCCTTCCCCTCCCCCATTTCTGATGAAGGGTCTAGGCCCGAAACGTCAGCCTTACTGCTCCTATGATGCTGCTTGGCCTGCTGTGTTCATCCAGCTCTGCACCTTGTTGTCTCTTTTATTCAGCCCTGTGTGTCTGTGTCTGTGCCAGTTCTTTGTTGTAGAAATTTAAAAAGTTACTGGGACAATGGGTTTAATTCCATGACCTGACCTTCCTCCTTCTCAGTCATTCAAATGTGTATTCAAAAGTACTTAGTCATACAGATCAGATTCTCTCAGGTTCAAACCAAGTATGCGCTGAGTGAGTGGATCTCGTCAGGATGGTGTTCAGAGATAGGGATGAAGGACTACAACTGGTCACATTGGCACTGGATCTGGGCCGATTGGGAATGGAAAATCCGTTAAGATTCCCATTTCTCACCTATGCTGCAAACTGCACTTTAGTGAACGTAAGGTGGGTAAGGGCTTCAGAATGCTTCTGACTCTCCCAAGTGTACCTTCCAGCATACAGTGTCTCGGTTTACACACAAAGAAAGGTCACATCAGCACTCGTGGACCACTGATGCACATGACAGTATGAAACAAGGGAAGGAAATTCAGGGGTAAAGCACATTTCAGAACATATATATGGAATTTTTTTCACGAATGAGTTCATTTTAGCACGTGGACAAAAATACATGACTGTTTTCACGCTGATCCCAATCTTGGAAATCATTTTAAATGAGCTTCTAAACAAAATAACAAAAATTTTATTGTAGGTTTTATTAAACGTACCCTTCCTGCCGGCACACTCTATGTCAAAGCTCAACACTCGAAGTGGAGGGATTTTCTGCCATTCTCCTTCAGCGGGGTGACTGATAAAGTCCGTCCAGGCAACATCCACCTCAATCTGCGCCAGTGTTACCTATGTGGTATAGCAGGAATAAAAACTATTCAATTTACAAATGTAATGCTCAATGTGCAATATTTCCTTTGAACTTAATTTCAGGATTCAAGAATCACTGCCAAAGCCAGTATTGGCTACCCATGCTGAACTGCCACAAAGACACTGAGAGGCTGCTACCTTCTTAAACAACTGCAGTCCATATGGTCAGAGATAGTAGGAACTGCAGATGCTGGAGAATCCGAGACAACAAGGTGCAGGGCTGGATGAACACAGCAGGCCAAGCAGCATCATAGGAGCAGAAAGGCTGACGTTTTGGGCCTAGACCCTTCATC